CACTCCGTGAACGATAGCGACGCACATCTGGAGCTGAAGCGACTTGGCCCAGGAGAGGTGGAACCGCTGGCACCAGTGAACAACCGACTAGCACTACCAAAATGGCCTGGTCATATTGCCTTTACCCGAAGGTATCTCCAAAACGAGACTGTCCCTGCGCTGCAGGCTCTCGCACAACGATTGGTCGTGCAGTCGTTAGGGACTTCTGGACTTACAACATCCCTCGCCGCTCTTCTCTATATCTCCTCCTTCTCCTCGACAGTCTACGAAGCCGGTGCTGTGGCAGCACTTGGTATAGTCTGGAGTTGCAGCCGGTTACAGAAGAAATGGGATGCAGCGCGAGCATTCTGGGAGGGCGAAGTGCGAGAGGAAGGCCGTAAGGCTCTCCGAGGCGTTGAGGACAGTGTTACAGAGGTTCTCAGCCATGAGAAGCAACAAGAAAAGCCAGTTGTAGACCAAAAAGGTAATGTGATTAACGAGGTTCGCGAGCTGGTGGTCAAGGCCCAGGAAGCTCTTGGCCGAATGAAATAAAAGGGGAACCTGTACAATATGGACTGAAAAGCATTGGACTTAGAAGGTGACAAGATACCAGGCGTAAGAGACGCCTTCATTTTTGTAATCTAGTCAATCTCAAAAAACCACCTCTACTGCGAGGTCTTGCAAGCCTCACAAGGCATATCCCCATCTAGACTGGTATCAACCTAAGCCTGTTCCACTCGTTTTCCCAAAATCGAGGCATGCCCATTGTAAAAATCCAAGCCCGAACGCCAAAAACTCGCATATTTCTATTATGTCTTGTTTATCGTCCTCCTCGTCCGCCTGCGCGCGCTCGGCTGACCGTCGCGCGACCTCTGGCAAGACCGACACCACGACCACGTACATTACGGCTGCGGAACATAGGGGCGTTGCGAAGCATGTCGGGAACGATGAAGAAGCGCACGTGGGAGCCACGGATGTAAACTTGGTCGAGATGGGAAACGCGGCCGTCGCGAGCGGTGACGGTAATGTCCTTCAGCTGAACGTTCATGTTGTCCTCAGCTAGGATGCGTTAGCAAAAATCCAAGCATTAAAAACAGTTGAAAAGAAAGGATAGCGAGAGAGAGAGGGGGGGCGTACCATCAAGAAGCTTGCCACGGTAGGTCTGACCGGAAGTGATTTCGAGCGTCACAATGTGGCCCTGTAAGGCAAAGTTAGCTTGATAGCTCAATCAGGAGTGCCATATAAAGGGGTACGGACCTGCGCCTCATTCAGGAGCTTAATAGGAATACCGATTGTAGAAGTCATGGTTGCGGTTAGGTGTAATTTTCGTGTTGTCGCGTGTACACAAGGCCGAGGCTGAGCTGGAGCTTGGTATATCGTGAAAATTGGCGAGGCTTGGTGGTGAGGGACGTTGGAGAGGTGGAGAAGAGTTGATCCGAGCCCGCGAGAGTTTGGCTTAACACTGTGTGCAGTACGCACGCAGCTTTGAAAAGCACAGTGTCTGTATTTCACAGTCTCTGGAGATTGTTTGCTTCATCCATACAATTGAGATTCGATATTGTTACTGAAATATACTATTTCCCTATTAACGCCATAAGCCTGATATGCCGTCCAGATAACATAAGAATGCCACACGGATTATAGAGTGTCTAACCACTTGTTCACTTTCGCCTTATTGCTGACCTGCTTTCTCTTATCCACATCCAACTTCTTTCCATGCTTCTTCTTCTCCTTCTGTTTCTTCGATGTAATTGATTTCCGCTTTAGTGCATTGGAGTTCGATATCACCACGACAGTTTCTGTAGTGTCTGCTTCTGGTTGCAGCGCTCCACTCATCAGCATGCTATCCTCGGTTGTCTTTGCTGAAACGACAAGTTGATCATTTTGCTGGCCATACACTTCTTGTGTAGAGACCGGAGGATCACTGGCTATTGGTGTTGTCACGGTAGAGCAAGTTGATAGCTCTGGAGCTTGACTGGTCCCTTGACTGGTCCCTTCATTGACACCCATGGACTGGTAATGGATGTATCCACCTTGAACATTCGGCACAATCGAATTTCTCCCAGTTGGCGGTATTGATGAGATGTCCTCGAATGAGATATATCGAGCTCGGTAGTAGTACAGTCCCGAGTTGTGGAGAGTCCATTCCGACCACCGAGATCGCGCGGGCAATGGCTCAATGGCCTTCGATGCAGGTGTTGAAGGTTGGGGCTCATGCGCAGTGTGTCTTTTGTTCACCATATTCGTGATGCGACGGTCGCTTAGGACTCCAAAACGGAAATAAGTGCACGAGAACACGGGTTCGTTGAAGAGATATAATCCAGGGATATCCCTCCAAGCAAAGGGCAGCTGCGCCGGCTCGCAAACTCGAGGTTCGCAGATAATCCTAACGCATTTCCTCACCCGACAGCCTCACTCTTCTCGCTGGGTGCCGAAAGGAAGCCTGCATGCAGGAGACACACAAAAGGCGACCTCTCGTGTTTCCAGGAACCCGTGGGTCGTCGAGGCATGGTGAATGGGTCCCTGATTGGGTAACAGATGAGCAGATTATCCATATAGTTGGCTGAGAATCGTAAAGGCGTGTTTTGTGAAAGCTATGAGCGTTGGACAGGTGTCACTGCATCTGCCAATTGAACAGCTGCACTTTGACTAATCCTGCGAGGTACCTGATCTGGCAAGTCGAGCATGGATGGCCTCAGTCAAGTCCGCCTTGTCAGCTGCCTGTCGCGTGCGGCGGAATTTCGAACCAGCATGGACGCATGAAGTGAGAATATCGTCCTTGCGAATCGGAGTTTTGTAATTGAGGTAATGAACATCACGATGATAACAATCACAATGCTGATTGAAGGCACAGCCATCGATTGAGCTGCAGCAGACTGTTTTGGAGAAATTGATATGTTGAACTCACAACCGCTTATCAGCGATTCTCTTATTATTGCTTCTCTGCAGTCTCCTCGACCACTCCCTCTTTCTGGGTATCATTCTCCTGCTTCTGTTTCTTCTTTGCTGCCAGCTTCTCCCTTGTTTGCTGCTTGCGAGCCTGCCTGTTGAGGCTCCCAATCACTCCACCCTCTTTTCCGCATGGCCACTTCGCCTCAGCTGCTGCTTCGTCTTCCTCGGTCCACTCTCGAGGCAGCACAGCGAAGGTGAGATATGACGTGTGAGTCTTGAGATCGTTCTCAGGCCTATGGTAGAGATTGCCATGCATCCATGGTTTGCTATCTTCAGCAGCCTTTCCATTGGTGTCGGTCTTGGGTGAATCTGAGGCAGGGGTATCTACATCCATTGCTGATGAATCGCCGTCACCGTTTGTTGACTTGAAATGCACCTTGTGGAATTCTTTCGTCTTTCGATTAATCTCCTTGAGCCTTTGCATGGCCTCCTTCACATTGGCTGGTGTTTGGACATTGCCCCTTTCCGCAGGAAGGTTTGCTCCGACTCGCTCACGAATAGTGTTGATCCGCCGAGCCGAGATTTCTACCATGTCAATGTCCTTCCAGCCCAGAAGCCGGAGCTCCTCAATTGTTCTTGTCACCTGCTCAATACAAGGGGAGAAGGTACAGATATGGACACTTCGTTTGGGGTCCAGAGGTGAGACCCATTCGGGGGTGTTAGCACCCTCGCTTTCCTTCCTTAGCTTATCGGGCTTCTGTCTTGAAAGGTGATGGAGCGCTTCCCAAGGCGCAGGGAGATCAAGAAAGACTGATGTTGCTTGGGGAGACTTCCCGTCCACATTGAATCCTTCTCCATACACATCACGATGTGTCAATTGCACGACACCATCCAGCTTATGCTCGTGGATTTCTTCTTGCATCTTATTATATCGAGGCTCGTGGTATTCAAAGCTGAAGACCTTTCCCTTCTTATCGTTCTCGTCCTTGGGGTAGCCGTTGTAGACAGCACGTGCAGAGGCATGTGTAAAGCTTCCACTGCCGGCTCCAGCTTCAATGATTCGAGTACCGGGAACTGCTCGTATTCTTTGAAGGATGTAGCTATAATCGGGAGTATACACGACTTGAGTTCGATGGGGCAGACTGCTTGTCCAGAGCTCAGGAGTCGGTCTGAGGATATGGATAAAACCACTTGCAGCTGCGACAGCCTTTTTGGCTGGCTTAGAAGTCACATCTGCGACATCATCGTCTGGGCCAGTCGTTGTCGGCGTGTCATCATCCGTCGCCTCGCGACGGCGCTTTCGGCCTCTTGAGCCAGTGTCGACATTTGATGCACGGACTTGGGAACCCCAAGGAATGCCAAGAAGTGTCGAGTGAGGAAAAGATCCGAATCGCGTGTTTAAAGTTGCACCTTCGAGGTATCCATCGACTGCGCCAGTCGACTGTTCCAGTGTAATAGGCTGAAGGTTATCTCTGGAGAGAAGAACAATTGCCAAGTCGCCAGTGGAAGTTGTAGTTCCTGGCTCCAGGAAAGGAGATGGTTGAGCCATTGATGCGACTGCACGCACAGGCGTGTCTTAAGGAAATTGAGTTGGTAATTATAAGATGGGTAAAGATTAGACTAGATTTGCAAAGACGAGGCAGAAAAATATTTCTAGGATACGCGCGAGGCTGAACAATTAGCGTTGTCTCCACTGAAAGCCTTAGTGAGGGGCACTCAATGCGACACTAAAACTGATCATGGACCAGGCTATTGGCCAAACCTCGCGGGGACACCCAGGTGCTCGTCGCCTGTAGCTCCCCTGTAGCTCAGAGCTGGTCTCGGGTGACTCGAAAAGTGATCGATGGCGTCTTTCTCTCCCTTTGACTCGACTGTGACTCAGGCCTCTCGTTGTAGACATTTGTCTTTTTCAAAGGTACATACGTTGCCTTGCATATACACCTACTTTTGCCCTCTTACGATACCCTCCCTCTCCTCTCCTTTTCCCGTGTTTCCCACCTTTTGGCGTCTGTATGAATCTCTTTCGACAACGTCTTATTCTATCTAAAATCCCCACTCCGTTCTCAACGCCCCGACTGCGACCCCTCCATCGATTGTATTCGTCTCTATCCAGCTCCAACACGAGCACCATGGAGTCGCTAAAGCTCTATAACTCGCTCAAGCCTGGCGCTCCTGTGCCTTTTGTTCCCATTGAGAAGGGCAAAGTTACCTGGTATGCTTGCGGTCCTACTGTGTACGACAAGAGCCATTTGGGCCATGCTCGCAACTATGTCTCTACAGACATCATTCGTCGCATTCTGATGCATTACTTTGGCTTTGATGTCAAATTTGTCATGAATATTACCGACATCGATGATAAGGTATGAAGAAGAGCTCGCTAGATGTCATGCGACTTGTCTAAACCCCTACAGATTATCATCAAGGCACGACGACAACGATTGCTCGAGCTCGAGAAGAACAAGAACTACACAAAGGACGAACTTCAAGATCTGGCCCTGGCCGCTTTCCGGGCATATGCTAAGAGCAGCCTGCCTCTGCTGCTAAAGGACGGAGAGGACATCGATGCGACCAACTACGCTCAGCGCAGAGAGGCGGGATATGGACACGTGCTTGCGGGAGGCACCATTTCTGGTGAGGGAAAGCCTGGCGACGATGAGGCCAAGGTCAAAATGCACCTCAGCAACATGACTGCTGCCGCTGAAGCTATGGCTTCTGGCGAGATCTTCCCCGGCACCGACGAGATCCTATTGCCCTTTCTCGATTCGCTTTACAGGGAAACCATTGACACGAGGGACCAGACCATGTTCACAGATCTGACTCAGAGCATGGAGAAGCTATTTATGGACGACATGGATGCCCTCAACGTACTGCGACCTGACGTTATCACTCGAGTTACCGAATACGTGCCCCAAATTGCCGATTTCGTCAAAAGAATTGTCGACAAAGGATTCGCATACGAATCCGAGGGATCTGTCTACTTTGATATCTCCGCGTTTGAGCAGGCCGGAAATACTTATGCGCGACTGCGTCCTGACAACAGAAATGACAAGTCTCTCCAGGAAGAAGGCGAGGGTTCCCTCTCAAAAAACCTTGGTGGAAAGAAGAATCCCGGCGACTTTGCTCTGTGGAAGAAGTCCAAGGCTGGCGAACCCTTCTGGCCTAGCCCTTGGGGAGATGGACGTCCTGGATGGCATATTGAGTAAGTCCAAATGAACCAAGACAACTGAGTAATGAGCTAACAAGCGAATTCAAGATGCTCGGTTATGTGCAGTGATGTTCTAGGAGCGACAATTGACATCCACTCTGGAGGTATCGACCTGGCATTCCCTCATCATGACAATGAGTTGGCACAGAGCGAGGCTTACTTCTGCGAGCATGGTAAGGGCGAGCACACATGGGTCAACTACTTTATCCACATGGGTCACTTGTCTATTTCTGGATCCAAGATGTCCAAGTCTCTCAAGAACTTCCAAACTATTCAGGATGCATTGGCTACGAACTACTCTTCGAGAGGAATGCGGATTGTGTTTTTGATGGGTCGATGGAACGATGGTGTTGAAATTTCACCAGATATGCGATTGCAAGCTGACAATTGGGAGTCAACCATCAGCGTAAGTATGGCTCAAATCTCGATCTAACATTACTGACATATGTCAGAACTTCTTCATCAACGTCAAGGCATTGCTGGCGGAGGCTGGTATTTCACATGATGTCAAGTCTCTGTCTCTCAGCGCAGATGGCAAGGCCAGTGAGGGTCTCTTGGCCGAACTCGAGCAAGCCAAGAAGGACTTTGAGGCTGCTTTAGTCAACTCAATCGACACACCAAAGGCCATGTCTGTTATCCTCAAGTTGGTCAACACTGCCAACGTGCACTTGAGAGACAACAAGGACGCTGATCTTGTGGCTCTTGAGTCTATTGCACGCTGGATCACCAAGATCGTGGGCATCTTTGGTCTCGATTCGAATGCTTCGCCGCCATATGAAGGCCTTGGCTGGGCCACAGTCATCGCCTCAGACGTTGAGCCAAAGACAGCCGTTCAGCCCTACGCTGAGGTCTTCACCAAGGTCAAGTCTGATGTTTCTGGCTTGTCTCTAGAAAGCGCCGAGATTTCTTCATTGCTTGAGCAAGACCCTACTGCTGAGTTCGAGTCGATCGCTTCTGGTGGCTCTCGCGACCCTGAGCAATTGGCTTTGCCTTATCTCCGTGCCATTTCTAAGCTTCGAGATGAGTTGCGTCGCATTGTTTCTAACCAAACACCCGAAACGAAGAAGGCTATTCTGTCTTTGACAGATCGTATTCGCGACGAGGACCTCACAAATCTAGGCGTTTACTTGGACGACAGACCCGACGGCCAAGCCTCCCTGATCAAGTTCATCCCCGCCGCTGAACTGATTGCTGCGCGTGAGGAGAAAGCTGCCCAAGCTGCTGAAAAGGCGCGAAAGAAGGAGGAGGCTCGTCTTGCACGTGAGAAGGCCGATCAAGAAGCTCGTGAAAAGGCCAAGGTCCGACCCGAGGATCTCTTCAAGGGTGATGAGAGATACAGTGCTTGGGATGAGCAAGGACTGCCTACTAAGATGAAGGATGGCAGCGATGTACCCAAGAGCCAATTGAAGGGTCTAAAGAAGCAATGGGACCGACAGAAGAAGGCTCACGATGATCTCAAGGCTAAGGGATTGTTGTAGAATGGGAAGTGGTGTTGAAGCGGGTAACCTATCTAGGTAGCATCTAGAAGGAGGAGTTCGGGGGCGACAACAAAAGCGTTTTAAGACTTGATTATTGCACATTAACATTTCGCACATGAACGGACATGCCTGGCTGCATATCGTCGCACGCTACTGTGATAGGAATGCAACACACAGTGACTTGAGATGGGGTTAAATGTCGTGATAACATGGTGGCATTGAGCAAACAGATCCGGCACTTATACCCGGGATACTTGGCAGCGGAATATTCATGTCAGAATCTCGCTAGGCGGAGTTCATATCATAGCAGGGAAGCTGGATATTTGTGTCTCTTACGAGTATTTGGACTAGTTGCAAGCCATTTCTGCAATTGCACATAGACAGCTGAGTCCATGAACATCTAGACTATTGCACAAGATGAAGACATGCACTCTAATATGACAAAATCCTGCAAACTGTAGTATTTTATGCATATCGATCAATAAATTCCCTTTCGGAAATACAGGTTGCAAGGATGAGCTCGTTGGTCAATTGCGTGATGGGCACTATAGATGGCATAAAACTCCACTATCCCACATCAGACTCCCAGGTTCGGCGAACTCAAGACATCTTTACTTGTTAGGAATTGGCAATTACTGGCTTTTACTGGTAAAGAGACAACAGTGGGGTTCAATGGCGATGAGAAAGATCGGGTTATCGCGTGGGATGTCGCAGAAATAAAGAGGGCGATCGCCCGCGGACCTTGGCTTGACTTCTCTAGCAATTGCCTCCTAACTAATAATCTAAGTTTGGGCTTTATCTTATACTCGGGCTTCAGAATGGAGAAGAATTTTGATGAGATAGCTGTTGGTAGCCAAGATGGTAGTTCCAGTGATCTGGAACACATCGAAGTTGACTGGACCGAAGAAGAGGAAGCGAAACTCATTCGCAAGTAAGTAAAACATCCAGAAACTATGAGTTCCTCCCCAATATTGACTTTTGATCTTCTTTCAGGGTTGATTTCACTATTATGCCACTCTTAGTTCTTGGCTTCTTCGCCCTTCAACTCGATCGAGGAAACATGTACGCTTCTACCGACACTCGACTCTATCCTCGACTAACATAACTCTAGTGGAAATGCTCTCACAGACTTTTTCATGGCTGATGTTGGAATCACTCAAAGTCAGTTCAACGTTGGACAACAGCTTTTATCTGCAGGTATTGTCCTGCTTGAGGTATGCTTCCAGAGTATGTGTGTTGAGAAGGGTTGCTAATGATGAAAGATTCCCAGTAACTTCATCCTCTACCGTGTTGGGCCGGCCAAGTGGATTGGATCCCAGATCATTGCATGGTAAAACTGTCCCAATGTCCCCTTTCTTATATTGTCTAACGTCTTATAGGGGTCTCGTTGCCACATTCCAGGCCTTCCAGAAAGGTCTTGGTGCTTTTCTTTCCACTCGACTTCTTCTTGGGTATGTCAGTCTCTCGATACTTGGTAGAACCGTTCTAACAATTGAATAGTCTCTGTGAAGCTGGCTTCATCCCTGCTGGACTATATACAATTACTCGATGGTACAAGCGTGATGAGACCAGCAAGCGATTCTCGATCTATTTCCTGGGTAATATGCTTGCATCTGGGGCATCAGGTCTCATTGCATATGGAATGTAAGCATGACTTAAACTATCTAACTCTTGATTCGGTGCTGACCATGACAGTCTTCACATGCGAGGTATTGGTGGACTTGGAGGTTGGCAATGGCTTTTTATTGTAAGTCCACACATACTTGACCTATGGCGTCTAAACTAACAATACCAGCTCGAGGGTATCTTTACCATCCTTGTTGGAATTCTCTTCATCCTGTTCTTCCCAGACAGTCCCTTCAACCCCGTCTCACTCTTCAAGTTCGGTGTGTTCACTGAAAGGGAGAAAGAGATCCTGGCGAAGAGAATTCTGAAGGATGATCCTTCCAAGATTCACGCAAAGCCCAACGTTACCAAAGAAGAGTTTCGAAATGTCGTATGTATCTTATTCTGCCTATGATATCTTAGTGTGCTGACAGTTGCAGATGACAAACTGGAGACTCATCCCCCATGTTCTACTCACTATCAGTGCGCTCGCGCCCGCTACAACAATGGGCTCCTACTCTCCAAGCCTCGTGAAGTCATTCGGTTATGAGAGACTCAAGTCTAATGCCCTTGTCTCAATTGGATCTTGGGCCCTTGTTGTGACTAATCTGCTATGGGGTTATCTGGGGCAAGAAACACCAATTCATCATTTGAGACTCTGTGCTAACACCTTGCAGTGATAAACTTCAAATGCGTGGTCCTCTGGTTGCCCTTGGGATCTTCATGTTTTGGGCATTCACAGTACGTAACTCATTTCTAGCCTTACTCATGCATTACTGACTCGTTAGATCGCTGATCGTGTCATGGTGTTTTCACCTGATGGACATACAAGATTCGCTCTGTTGACATTGACTCATGCTTTCGGATGGCAATGGCGTAAGTTGAACCATAAATTAGATAGATTCAGCGATACTAATGTTCTCATAGATCCCCTGAATGGTTCTTGGATGGCTCTCAATGCTGGGTCCGCTGGAGAGAGGTCTATCACCATGGCCATCCTCATCATGTCAGCCAACACATCTGGCATTATTGGAAGTCAACTCTTCCAAGAGCATGATGCTCCTCTTTACAAGACAGGTTGGACTGCTATCATGGCTCTGGCTTCGGTTGGTCTTGTTATGGCTGTCATTGCGAATTTGCAGTACTTCTTCCTCAATGGCCGACGGATTGGTCGCAAGGGCTTAAAGTATAGTCCTTAATTGTGTGAAAGAATATTCACTTGCTAGTTAGGTCATAAAGTTGGTTGGTAGTGAAAATATTGGAACGTGAGTGTCTGAACTTTTGATCAATTATTAGAGAATATTATTTGGGACTCATGGACTAGAGAACAATTCTGTGTTTACTTGGTCTCCTTCTTAGCGTCCTTCTTGGCCTCACCAGCAATCTCTTGGGCCTTTTCAGACTTCTTCTCCAGCACTTGTCGCAGTTCCTCAACGGTCTCCTTGAACAGCTTCTCGCCTTCTTCCTTGTGCTTGTCCGCAACCTCGCTCAACTGCTGCAGCTTCTCCATGACCTCACCACCGTTGGGGATCTCCTTGATGTACTTCTCAATGTCGACCCAGCCACCAGTGAGCTCGTTTCCTTTGGACTTGACCTTCTCAGCCGCATCCTTGACGTACTTCTCCAGGTCGCCTAGGTCGCCAGAGTCGACGGCGGACTTAGCACGCTTGAACAGCTCGGCGGTGTTGCCCTCCTTCAGAGCGTCGGCGTTCTTCTCGATAAGCTCCTTAACCTTTGGGTTCTTGTCAAGGTATGGCTTGGCCTCCTCAAGACCCTTCTTCCAGGCCTGGTCGCCGAGCTTCTTGATCTGTTCCACCTTCTCCTCGATGAGCTTGCGGGCCTTGCTTATGCTGGCGGCACTGAAGCCTCCAGCAAAAATGTCCTTTACCTGCTTCCAAGTCTCGTCGACCTGTTTCTTCGCCTCGGGGCCATACTTGTCACCAAGCTCTTTGAGCTGATCGACGTTGCTGCCAAGCTTCTCCTTGACCTGGGGGTGGTTGTCAATGATGTCGCCGATGGCGTCACCAGCGAGGTTGGCGACCTTCTTGGCGAGATCTGCGAGGACGTCGTAGGCCTTTGAGGCAGTCTCGAGGCTCAGGCCAGACTTGGAAAGATCTTGGAACTGCTTGTAAGCATCGTTGACGAGCTTGTCAGCCTCATCCTTGTTGTTCTCCCGAACCTTTTCCCAGTCTTTGAAGGCAGCATCAACGTAGGCACGGCCACCTGGGATCCAACCAACGTAGGAGTAAGCAAACTCCTTGATGTAGTTCACAGCCTGATCGGCGTCGGGAGTGTTCTTCTGGAGCTTCTTTGCGGCGGCCTCATATTTTTGCTGAGCCTCCTTAGCAGCCTTGTTGATACCGGAAGCAGCACGGCCAGCGGGTGTGTAAGAGTAGATGCCATAGAAGATGGCTGAGCCGACAAAGCCACCAGCGATACCGGAGGCAAGATGAGCGCTGCTCGACGAGGATGAGGCTGTAGATTGGAATCGCACTTGGCGAGAAGCACGAGAAGCACGTGCGGCACGAGGCACTGTTGATCGAATGAGAGGGCGAGCAGGAAGCATTGTGTCTGATTAGTTGCTATGAGAGGGAGAATGGAGAATCAGATTGTAATGACGAAGGGAGAGATGTGAGAATGAGGGGAATAAAAGGTAGAAGATGGCATTTCGAGGGTGAGTAAATAACTTTTTTTTTTAGCAATTTGTCTAAGGAATGACGTACTCATACGATCACGACGCAAACAAACCACAAGCTAGAGCTTCAGGACCAAAGCTCCGGAAACGTGACGTCAATGACGCTCATATGCGGACATTGCGGGGTGAGTTTGGCGTTCCCCATGTGAGACCAAAACCGCCCAATTGGCCAATTGCGTTCCATGTCTCCAAACTCAATCCGTGCTCAAGATCGAGATCCTTGTGCAGTTCCTGCTTTGATCCTCGGGTCTAGAGCTGAAGATGATCAGGGGCGCTTTCGTTGGTGCTGCTTTAGACGGGGCCGGGATGGGCCGCGGATGTTACGTCACGACCACCTAAGACAACAACTACACTAAGAGGGGGGGGCAAGAAAACTTGGGACCTAATTTCTAAGTGAGGAAAATACTTAGGTAAGTGGCGGGTATCTTAGCAAGCCTTTCGACTAGTTTATTTTGACACACTGGTCCAACGGCAGCAGTTTTCTTGCTATCTACCTAGGGACTAATTATCAAGCTCAACAAGCACCGAGCTCAGCTACCAAGGTCTACCAAGGTTAACATCGGTAGACCGGCTACACGATAAAGAGCCGCTAATTCAGGACTAATAGGTTTGATACTCTTTAAGATTTCTCGCGTGGTGGATAAACCCTGCGTAGTAGACACAATCTTTGGGAACTTCATTGTCATTGAAGTTACCCTAGAGATGCTTGCTCGGCATTTTGAGGTCTGATCTTTCGCCCTCGTAGCTTTAGCATCTAGAATACCAAGGCGAGGCAGTAGTGAGGACAACTCGGGTAAAGCAATTATAGGCTCTATGAAATCGAAGGCTCCAAAGGTATAATATTGTGAATTAGGCGTAACGAATACTTTTGAGAGGTAACTTGGACCTTGCCAAAACATGCGCTCTTACTATGAAACTTCATAGTGATGTGAAGTTGACTGGCTATGTGCAGAATGTTGTGCCGACGCGACCTCATCAAGTCTGTGTGCAAGTTCTATGGCGAAGGACATGCTGACATCCGAGTTTTGTCTATGATTCTCCATGATTAACATGATTCCATCGTGCAAATTTTGAAGCCTGTTGCAGAATATTGCAGCATGGCTAGTAAGAGTATTGTGGTGTGTTGCCAGAAGTTTCGTGTGCCGAGCAAGCTAGTCGGGGCAAGTCGGTAGATGGCTGTTGATGCAAAGTCAGGATTGGTGGTTAGGAGCTGGTTCGCTGTTGGCTGCCACAGGAGCGAGGGCATGAGGACACAGCAGAGCTTGAGACCCCAAGGGGGCTTGAAGATATGGAACTGATCGAGTCTGAGGCAAATCACCGACTCTTAGAGTGGTTATTAGGAGATTGCCTCATCTTGATACTTGCCTGAAGATAGGGAGATACAGTGATCACCTGAAGAGAATTGATAATAACATGGAAATTACCTGTCCCAAAAGGAAGAGTCTGATTATGATGAATGCATAGTGGAAGATATCTATGATGGGAAAGAGAAGAGAAGTGTGAAAAGAGATGGCTTAAGGGAAGATTATGTTCTCCCATGGGCAACCTAATGACCCAGAAAGCCACGTGCTTGGCCACCCGTACCAGCTTCTTGGATCTATACCCTTTTCTGATGCGAAGGATGTCCTTTATGTTCTCTATTTATGTTTAAGTTGTGTTACAGGCTGTATACCAAACATATCATGTTGCATTCCTCAACCCTCTCAGAGACATATATAGATCTTGTACTAATGAATTTCGTGACTGTTTGAGAGCAATTTGTACGAAGTATGTCCGCTGGGTGTTTCAGATCTGATTCAGCCTTGACATAACCTTTTATTGTTAAGAGGATATAGTAAGAAGATGTCAAGCTTGAATGCTATTTGCTCATGAGCACGGTGTCCATGGCTGTACCAACTGTTGTTCTATAGACTCTGGAGTCAGGACATAAGACAGAGCTTTGAGTGTTAAAAGGAGTAGCAAAACCTAGAGCGTGCATATTGATAGAAGATAAATTAGCCTAAACCTAGAGAACTAGTTGATAAGTTTACCTTGGCACTATATTTCAACTCTAAAGTCCTTTTGCTCCCGGAGCTGGGGTATCTTTGTGGTATGAAGCCCGAGGACTTTGCTCCGTATGAACTGTGCTTGACTCAGGTCCCATGTCGAAGCCTGGTTGGCTAGCTAATTTTAGAAATTGCATGTTGGAATTATTTCCGGAGACTCCTTGCCAGCAAAGATTTTCGACATAGTCTATCTATTGACCGAGAAATGCAGGCCGTTTCTAACCATACATGTATCGAAGTACTAATAAGCTTAAATAAGTTCTACGGCTTGTTGTCTTGAAAGATGTCGCTAGCTCAATCCAGTTTCTGACGTCACTTCAAGTGGATATCATTACTTGACCACATTAGAGTTTGCAGGCTTTCAGCTAGAGTCACAGAATCCCATTCAAGTATTTACAATGTATAACTAATCGAGAAAGTCCCTATGAGAATAGAGGTAAAAAAGGTAGTGATTTTATCAAATTGATACAAGATGTTGTGGTGAAAAGAAAATGATGTTCTGGGTGCTTCGAAATCGTGGTCTCCACACCCGATGAAGGTCCAACCGACGTGGTGACATATATCTTCCACTATCCAATCGCCGAGCCAGCAAATTTCTTTACCATTCACATATCAATAACCATAAACTCTATCAGCCAGCATATCATCAAATACTGAAATGGCACCTAAAACCTTGACCCGAGAGACGACTACTGGCGCTGCGCTGGAGAAGGTCCAGGGAGCCATTCAGGGCCCAAAGACAGAGGTGATTCTCAAGCCGCCTTCTGACGTAAGTGAGCCAGATACAAAATGAACGCCACTATACTAATAGAAATACAGCTCGAAGAACTCAAGGCTGATTGTGATTCATTCACTTTCACATCATTCACCACTGAGGATGCTTTTGTGCTGGGCAACCTTCTCTACGCTCGGCTTTACCCATACGCTGTCAAAGGCAAGCCGACGGTGATCTCAATTGCCCTTGCAAACACCTCCCAGGTTGTCTACCAAACCGTTACCGGACCTGGCACAGCTCCCGACAACGAGCAATGGGTTCGCCGTAAGAGAAACACTGTTCTCCGATTCGGCAATAGCACATGGTTCATGCACAACAAGTTCAAGGGGGATGAGGTTGCTTTCGCTGCCAAATATGGCATTGCAGATTCAAACAAGGGCGACTACGCAATCCATGGTGGAGCTATCCCGATTCGTGTCCAGGGAGTTGAAGGGATCGTTGCTGTTGTCGTGGTGAGCGGGCTCAAGCAAGACGAGGACCATGGAGTTATTGCCGATGTTATCAAGAGTAATTGGAGCTGTTAAATAATTTCATAGGGTAGTCAGGCACAAATCTGTCAAGGATGCTCAGGGTATCCCTGACGCAGCGGCCGACCGGTTTTCCTACTACGGAGTGCCCGTTCCCGCTATATATGCACCAAAACAAATAAAGTTTATGCAGCTAATGAAACCGAAATCCACACTAGCGTGCCGAGACAAACTAAGTTAATCACTCCATGCATGCCGAGCATTGAATTCAATAGTCTATCATATCTTCTTCATCAATACCTAGAGTAGACACAACTAACTCTACGGCGACCATGAACACGACGAAATGGAGGATCTCAAAGGCTTGTCAAGAATGTCGCGCCAAGAAGATCAAGTGCAATGGGGAGACCCCCTGTCAAAACTGCAGCATGAGAAATCTCAGCTGCGTCTATCGCGAAAAGGCCCGTAATCGGACGCGCAAGGTCAAACCGCGAACTGCAGCTTATGAGACTATAATGTCTCACGATGCCATGGAGAGCACGTCTCTGGAACCCTCTGATGAAGGAACTGTGCCGCCTACGCCAAATGCCGACGACACCGCATCTGTCGGACCTACAGGATCAGTAATGGACAGCGAACGCAGTTTGACACATAATAGTGTTGCTGCGACACATCGCGCATCACCCTCTTGTTTCCTCCAGCTTTACTATGGTCCCTCATCGAATTTTGCCCTACTCAACTCGATCTATCACCAAATAGCAGGGACATGCCCAAATGATCCTCCGTCACGCTCTGGAATTGTCGAAGAAGTTGGTCCGGGTCTAGACCTATTCAGTCATCGGAGACTATTCTTCGGAGATCTGGCTGACAACCAACGGCCATCATCAGTACCAGACGACTGTTCAGCTATGTTGATAGACCCAGACACTGCTCACCGGCTACTCGAGAGATATCTTCTGACCTATTGGCATGGTCTTCCCATCATGAGTAAAGACCATTACCGCCGTCGCTTAAGTGCCCTATATCAACCACCAGGTATCTTTGATTATGATGCACCCGAGACTATCATCATCATGCTGGCTGTAGGACTGGGAGCTTCAATGACAGGTGAAGAAGCTATTGCAGACTTTCTTTTCCAGAAAACCAAACAAGGAGTTGCCAAATTGGATGAGGTTGTGAACATGCAGATGGTTCAGATACACCTCTTAATGATAAGTCGTACCTCCTGAACTTTGCTCTCATATAAGCTTACACAATCTCACGCTCACTTCCAATCTGAAAGAGCAAGGCCAAACTCAGGTTTCTTGCATGTCGGAACTGCATGCAGAAAAGCAGTAGCGGCTGGTCTACATAAGGACGGATGCTCACGCCCAGGATACACAGAAGATGATACAAATCAGCGAAGAATAACTTTCTGGAGTTTATTCTTCTGGGAAACGTAAGGCTATTAACCATCCACCTTGACCACTACTGACATGGCACAGATGGCAATGCTTTGTCCTTGGCCGACCTAGCTCACTTCCTGACCCTGGTTCGATCATACCACTACCGAAAGGCCAAAAACTACTAAAGTCTTTGGTCACCCTATCACGTATCATGGACAAGTGTGTAAAGAAAATCTATAGTCCTCGACATGACTCCCTGTTGCCAGTCTGGAATGCAGCCATCGAGATCCGCCGCGAACTACACCATTTTGCAGAGCAACAACTCAAGGATATGAAGTTTGGTCTTGTGGGAGACCCCAGCACAGGAGAGCTCGGCGTGTGCCAAGCTATGGTTTCAACAAGTAAGCCAGCGCAATTCACCTCCTGTACCATGCTAATCGAGACAGTGTATCATCATACACTCCTATTAACATTCCGTCCCTTTCTCATCTTGCGAGCAAAGCTGAATCACGACCGTGCTGCTGCTACTTCAGCAGAGAATCTACAAATGCCTCCGCCTTGGCTCGATAGCGCTTGCGAGTATTGCTTGGAAGCAGCGAGGAATTCCGTTGGGTTTTTAACGGGCTCTTGTGCCACCAATATTCTCTGCCGTGTACGCTTATCTACCTTCACTCAGCATCGGATCTGGCTAACCAAAATCAGGATATAAAGTATCATGGCTTCTTTATGGAGGGAGCATGCTATGCTTTGGCTTTCGATATGCTTCAGGAAAAGAAGACAGCTCACCGCAATCTGCCTTGGATTCACTCTGGTTTAAGATGCCTTCGCTCCATGATGGGATCAGCAGGAGTGAACGCCGGTCAGCTTCCAATAACAATCGCCTCAATAGAGCAGATGGTCCGATCTGCTGGGTTTGAACTGAAAGATCCAGTAGACACGAACCAGCAGAAGCAGCCCCCGCAGTCCACGCTCCCTGGTTCACCAGCACCTGTCTCTGTTGCGGGTGGTATGAGGAGCGAACCTGCGTTCACATTCCCGTCCATGCCATTCGGGTTTGATGTCACTGGCCAGATGAATGGGAGCTCGAGCTCTCCTGCTGGCGCTGCCTCGGAAGATATGGCAGATTTTACAGCTGCTGATGTTGGATGGGACATTGATTTTGGAACTATGAATATGGAGGCGTTTCTATCTCTCGACTCGGCGGAGGCTTTCAATTTTGCCCCATGAGCACACAACTGCATACTTGTATTTTATCTTATTGGGTTGGTTATTTGCTAAATGTTAGTCCTTGTGGCGTTTTTAGACGCATCGTCGGTGTAAAAAGCACCGGAAGGTGGGATTGCATTGGGATGGTATGGATTACTACATAGATGGATAATGATGGGGAGGCTCGGACAGGAAGGATGACAGGCATGGAGAGGAGCATTGAATTTCTTCAGATATACCACTAACTACGATGTACCCCTGACCTATGAGAAAGGGCCTCGATTCTTGACAATATTACTAGCTTAAGACTATCAAGCTCTCACACTGCTCCCCCTTTCAAGCTGTTACTCATTCTGAAGAGCCAAAATAGCAGACAAGCCTCCAGTGAAGGCCAGAAGCCCCCGAACGATATTCATCCATCTCCACTTCTTCAACAAAGCCACGACCTCATCACGACCAACTTTCTCCTGCTCAACGCTACTGGCAGCAATATCGTTGAGTCGATTGTTCGTGGCCATCATCCCAAGCACCGTCCAGGGCAGCTGAGACACTGTAGCGACAGCTGCAACTGCCCAGAGCGTACGTTGAGCCGGGACAAGATAAGCAACTATTCCAGATGATGCACCTGAGAATAGAGCGAGCGGAACAAGGGTCACCGCCCCGCGGGTGTAGAAGTCCTTGAAGAAGGGCGTATTGATGGAGGTAGGCTGGTTGTAGAGAAGAGGGACTGTGAGATGTGAAGAGCCAAGGTTTATGCCCGCGAGGACAAGGCTCGAGGTGAGGCCAAAAACTTGAAAGGTTCGTACTGTAGAGTCCATTTCGATTGTTTATTATGAGTTATTTTAGAGAGTGAGTCTTATCTCTGTAGTTGAAGTGAGGAGATATCAAGGCTCGTTGGCTAGTCTGATATGTAAGACCGGCCTCGTTAGGTGCATGTGGCTTGCTGCAATATCCGTCATAGACCTGGAGACGATGTCTCAGAACTACTCCAACTATATCCGTGATAATGCCATCAATCAATCATATGATAGCCGGCTTCGTCGGAAAGTTTGACTTTGACTGACAATGAGGTGTCAATGTAACCACATCATTATGATGAGAACTCAAATTCGTCGTATTCGGTTCATCATGAATATGAAGAGCAGCATGATTAATGATGAATATATGTAGACAGGCATGAAGCTAAAATCAGAACCAAGCAGATAGCATATATCGCCTTGAACCAATTACAATAGTTTCAAGACCTCGATGTCTCCCACTGACCTATTAGACAACTCCGAACCCGAGATCAAGTGCGAGGATGCTGATCCCGTCTAGCGCTTATACCACGACGCTAAGATGTCAACTTAGTCGGGATAATTCCACTTGATGCGACCAATCACGTAAACTCTATTTCCCCTAATTTCAGCCAAGCGAACATGGTGTCAGCCTCCTGGAGATTCTAAAAGACAAAGCTTCCCCTCAGTGAAACTGCTCAAGCTTGCTGTTGAGACAATGGAGTTGTCTTCGGTCTACCAGAGCGCCTCGGCGGCGTTTGGCTCTTTACCAGTGGCCTACAAGCTCCTGTGTGCTATCCTGGTGATTTTTGCTTTCAGCAAAGCATTCTCTGGGGCTGAGAGGAAGGGGTATAAGAAGAATCTGCCGAAATATGCTCCCATTGAACTTGCGATTGTGAGTTATATCCTTAGCGGAGATGGTATAGGTCGACGAATCTTGTAATACGCATTCTCTGCAGTTCCAGGAACTTGGCTAATTGAAATATAGTTCAGCTTTAAGCCGCTATGGAGGCTCTCTGTTCGGTCTTACTTCAGGACATCAGATCTTTGTCGACTTGCCCGGCGTAGAACGTCTTTTGGCCCAATCTCATCACACTTTCAACTCTGACCCGGCACAGTACTCACTCTGTACACTTGTCTTTGGCAGCACTGATACACCAGAGCTGAGAGTCAAATTCGATACTTCACTGAAAGATCTTGTTCCTCCTCTTGAACGAACTTTTCTGAATGATGCAGCTTCGACAGCCAACGTTGAAAAGTCTCGTGTAGCGGAACGAGGTGCTTCACTTGTTACGTTCTCTTCTAATCCTAAGGATATGGCACGATGGGAGCTTTCAGCAGGAATCAAGGTACTTCAGCCAGAGACATCTGATAGTCCGGGGAAAGTCGAAGCAAACTTGCAGAGTTTGACTCGAGATTTTGGAGCATGCATGTCTGTTCCACTCATATACGGCCAAGACATACTCGATCGGAATCCTCGGCTGCTAGATGACTTCTGGACCTTCGATAATGATCTATTTCCGCTACTCATGGTGGGCGTTCCTCAGTGGGCTCCATTCAGAATGATGCAAGATGGTCTCAAGGCCAGGGCCAGAATCATCGATACTCTGGAGGCAGTATACAGACGCGTCGATCAATATGAGCAAGGGAAGCCAGTTGATTTTGGTGCCGACATGTCAGATGTTAGTACGATGCTACGAGAACGAAACAAAATCTACAATAGAGACGGGTGGACATTTCCTGAGCGTGCTGCAGCGGACCTTGGTACTTTTTGGGGTCTCAACGCCAACGCTCAGCCTGTGTTGTTCTGGTTCTTGCTCTACGTTTATTCGACTCCAGGCTTGCTTAAACGAATCAGAGACGAGATCTCCCCCTATATCACTTTAGCAGATGGCGACAGACCCGAGATCAATTCGATGGACTTTCCGAGTTTGTTCCGGAAGTGTCAGCTCTTCAAGGCATGTATCTTTGAGACATATCGGTTGGTTAACGAACCAACATCTATTCGCTATGTCACTCAACCCGTCAGTCTCAACGACGGCAATCACAAACATAAGCTTCGAGAAGGGACATATATCAGCGTTCCTCTCGCGCTGAAGAACAAGAACCCTTCGATATATGAGGACCCTGACACTTTCATCCCTGATCGTTTTCTTGATACAGACCCCGAAACGGGAAAAGCCACGGCACGATACGGAAAGTTGAAGCCCTGGGGTCTTGGAGCTGCCATGTGCAAAGGCCGAACATTTGCAGAGAAAGAAATCATTTCTCTCGGGTCCGCTGTAATTAGTCTTTGGGATATCAATCCTGCAGAGGGGGAGTGGAAGTTGCCTGCTATGATCCCAGGAACTGGGGTTAAGAGACCAGTCAGTGATATTCGTGTAGTTATAAGTCGCAGAAGCCCTTTCAAGTCATAAAAGAATGCATGAAGCCGAGAATGCTGAATTAGATACTCAACGACTTACTTTCGTTCACTTAGAGACTAGCAACAACTTACAACCGTGTTCTACAAAAGACTAGTCTTATTGATGCAGGAGACGACATCTTGAGGATCAGGGGTGTTTGTAGTGTTGAGCTAACCCTTCTTGGCTGGGGGATTGAAGCTTCTTACATGCCTCTAAGGCCGGCTAAAGAGTCATTATTTAGGGTTTCCTCTTATTAGCCTTATACTGTAGTAATTAGTTAGAAATCTTGGTATAATGTCTAAGTCGTGAGCTAGAAGTGTTATTTGCCACTGAGACCTGTAGCTGAGAGCTTAAATCAGCCGAGAGAACTTAGTTCTACAAAGAAGCGGTAAAGAGGAGAGACGATTATGATCTATCCATGGATGCAATATCTGTTTCCATCTCCTCGCCTCTATGAAGAAACTATGTATTGACCTAGCATCATGGTAGTATAAAAAGGGGTTGACTGGATAGGTATCCTTCCCTTCAGTCATGCGTCGATAGGGAATGCTGAGAGGCCTGCAAGGGCTTGATCATTCTAGAGTCTTCTTCACGCTGTACTCTCAGAGACTCAGAAATACACTAAGTTCTCAAAAATACACTTTGGTATAATCTTAAACCTCCACTGAAGAGTTCATGTGCGTAGGGCAAACGAGGCACGAGAGTAAACTCTCATCGAAGTATAACGAGATTTCGTCTATAAAAGTAGCGCCTCCTACCTTCTTTCTCCCAAGTCAGCTTCTCTCCTTAATATTCTCGTTATACTTCTTCGTACAGCATTCGTCAAGCTTTACTCACGTTTTCATCAAGTCACGGCAAGACTCTCACACAAACTTCGCTATATACGGCATTACCACATACTAGTCTATCACCACTCCTTTTCTTCAGCACACTTTATACGGTATTGTCATATACCAGTCTCACTAATCTGCTTCTTCAGTACACTTTACGGTATTGTCATATACCAGTTTATCACTACTCTTCTTTTACGGCCTAATAAATCTGATCTACGGCTTACATTCTCGACCAGACAAGATGATACTGGCCAAGAATCTTCTCGACACCACCCGCAAGGGAAAGTATTGGTTTTTGAAACCCCGGGGTCTCCAGAATAAAGTGTCATGGGACTATTTCACTGCGCTATACAACCGCGTAAACACCCTTCCAGCTCCTGAGCCATCCAGTTGTGCAATCTCTGAGAACAGTGATGCCTCCAGTGTCTCGTCGCCTTCAGACACGTCGGGGTCAGACACATCAGTCGCAAACGTTCTGCCAGTCAAAGCTCCTGGAATTCACGTCTATGTCCCAATCCGCACACAGACACTCATCCTCACACGAATTCAGGCTATCTTGGAACATGCCTGCTTTAGTTTCGCTCAAGAGGCTATGCCAGACATCCTCGAAGAGACGAAGTGGTCCTGCCCAGAAGCAGGAGAGCTAAATGCTTGGGCATACCACTTTAAGAAGCACTGGGAAGACCTCCAACAGCTCAGCCGTTGCCAAGGGAGTGGCCTTGTCCTCACCTCTTTTCTCTACTCAGCCAAGCAGATTCGAAATATTGCTGTTCACCGACAGCCCATCACAGTGGACTACCTGCTTATGCTGATGAGTCATGCCATCAACTTCTGCATTTGCCTTGATGTCCCAAAAGCCTTGGATATGATCCGAAAGATTCGAAATTCTGTGGACACTCAAATCCAGAAGCTTGAGGACTGCAAAAAGAACATCGAGCAAGGACTCAGCACAGCCAGTCAAGAGACCTCCATGACACGCTTGGAACTCTGGGCATGTGAGCAGCAAGAAATGCAAGTATCTTGCGAGAAGTTTGAGAAAAAGAGAAGGGCCATCTTTAAGAAGGTCGAAAACTTGCTCCTCTCTAAGGAGGTGGCGTGCTTTACCTTGGAAGACGATGAGGATGAAGATGAAGAAGACGATGACCAAGAGTATTGAAGTATGACGTAAAGATGAGCGAATTTGGGTTTAGTGGGAGTTTTTTACGATATTATGGCGGCGTGGATTATGATTAATGAACAATAAAACCTGAGTATTCGAACTCTTGGTCATACTACTACACCTTTCTTACATTTTGAGTCACTATAATCAAGCCTGTAACAAACATATATGATATAATTTCTGCACCTTCATCTCATACCTAAACATAAGGATTTACCAGGGCGAGTAACATTCGTCTCCGGTAAGCAACAGGTCTTTCATGTGATTCATCCAAGTCACATCTAGCAAGGTTCGGTGTGATCTTTCTACAGCCTCACTCAGCACACGTGGTCATGTATCATTTAGTCAGGTGAACCGCTAATCCTTCAGATTGACACATCCAAGTCCCCACTGGCATGCGAGTGTTTCTCGAAACTATGAAACTGTGTAAAATCGAGTCACACACTCTCTGTTTGACTTTTTCATCTGTTCCCGAAGACCTATAAATCGTAAGGCAGCCCTCGGGGGGGCAAGAAAACAGTGAACCTTACTGTGGGATGTCAAAATAAACTTAGCAAAGAGTGCCCTAAGTTTAGGCTAGATTTACCTAAGTATTTCTATCGCTTAGGGTCAAGGTCCTGTGTTTTCTTTCCCCCCCGAGGCAGCTACATAAGCTTAATCTTATCCAAACCATAACACAACAGTCTCAAGAGACTCAATCTTATTGGGTATAATTATTGATCATTGAAAGTCCATCATGCTTCTCGTTTATACTTTTGCGCTACCCTATACACCGCATCCCAAAGACGTCGCATCCTGCGTGTCAAACTTCAAATAACCTCCCATCTATTCCACTCTAGTTGGTCTTCTCAGTGTAGACAAAAGCATCAAGCTCCTGGTACGTCTTCTCCAAATCATCGTTGACGAGAATCTTGTCGAACTCGGCATTCTTGGCCCACGCAAGCTCATCCTGCGCACGTGTCAAGCGCTGCTGGATGCTCTCCTCGGTCTCGGTGCCGCGGCCGCGCAGTCGCTTCTCGAGCTCTTCGGTATCAGGAGGCGAGACGAATACGTAGCGTGCGTCGATGGAAGAGGCCTTGACTTGCTTGACGCCCTCCATCTCGATGTCCAGAACAACAACCTTGCCCTTGGCTGTCTGCTCCTCGATGGTCGCCTTGCTCGTTCCGTAGAGATTGCTTCCGAATTGAGCACTATAGGTACCCAGTATTAGTACATTGCTGGTCGTTGATGCGCTTAACTTACTGCTCGACGAAGCCGTCCTTGGCGATCAAGTCCCGAAACGCATCCTTGGTGACAAAGTGGTACTCAACGCCGTCGGACTCACCCTCACGAGGGTTACGAGTGGTATGCGACACAGAAAGAGTAAAGGTATCGGGGTGACGGCTGAAGAGCATCTTGATCAGCGTGCCCTTTCCGACACCGCTAGGTCCAGAGATGACGAGGGGTCGACGGTCCGAGGGAGAAGCCATTGCGAAGGAGCGTCTAGAGCAAATCGGTAAATAAACGTAACGTGAAGAGGCGAGTTGGAGGTGCTTACTTTGGAACTTGCGAAAAGGATTTTGTACTGGGTATTAACAAGTTTGAGTTGCGCTTCGCATAACCTAGAAAGCACCGCATCGTGCCCTGGGAAAATGCTAACGAATGGGGTGCTAATGCTGGAGAGCTACAAGGCACTGTGGGGGAACTCATCCAATCACGTGGCGGGAGGTGGCTTGCATCTTCACGGTGACACTCATCTCAGAACTTGAGTGTAAAAATGAGTAGTTCTGTACAGAATATGCTGGCACCGACATCCAGGATGACTCGTTTAAAGTCCGATGATCAGGTGTTGCCCGAGCCTCAAGCGCTGCTATAAACCGAGTGAAAAACGCTGTGATCTATTAATGTCTTCGCTGTGGTCTATCGTTACGACTAATACCTCTAAGCCCTATCGTTACACATTACTTTATCCATGTCTATATCAATGTTACCCATCCACCTCATGCAAGTCATGCTATCAGCTCAATCGTGGTTCCTTCAATCAACTCGTTGCTTATTTTGGGAAGATCCCCTTTCGAGCTCAGGAGTCGGCACCTGGCGACTCCGCTCTTCTTCTTCGAGGTCAAGTGCTTCAACAGTTGTATCTCTACGGATACGGAATCGTCTTCCACGCCAGTTCACCGTATTCCCGAAGACGACTGCGTATGCCCAGATCGGTAGAGCTAGAGCTTCACGGACAATCCAGGCAGCCAAAAACTCTGAGAATTTGCGACTTCTGATTCCCTCACGATCCATGAAACCTCTGGCGAAACGAGGGGTGTCTTCATCAACCTCCATAGTGACGCCAGAGTGCAAATGTCGGTAGCCTAAAAAGTCGACAACCATCCAGATAGTGACCGTTGTGAGCCAAGTAATCACTCCAGCAGTCCAGGTCGTAGGAATGCCATATATCCGCAGTGTGGTGATTGCAAAAGTAAAATACGTGGCAAACACGAAAGATTCCGTAAATGGCTCGATCATTGTAGCTGGGAGAACCGTGAACTTTCTCGCTCTGAGCCACCGAGAGCGGCGTGCCGTATATGCCTCGACAGACATATCCGACATCGGCTGAACAGCAATGTCACCCCAGACTAACCCATGGTTCCTGTAACCGTCAAATTGAGCATTCCAAAGGACATCGCCGATCATATGATCTTCGCAGATATTGTGCGAAAAGTAATCAACGCCCGTAGGGAGGTTCTTGCCCTTGGGCATCTTGGGATTCAGTGAAGGGTTGGTCGCGCGATCGAGCTGAGATTTGCAGAACATGGTGCTCTTGCCCACAGCGCAAGGGGCTAGACCAGAAGTGTTGATAGCACTGTAGAATTTGGCATGCGACGTTGCCATGAACATCTCGTCAAGTCTTCCACCGCCCTGAGCCCAAACCTTAGGGTTACCACGAGAACCCCCTGAGTCTATGTGATCAGAGTCATCGTCTTCAACAGAGGAAGCAGCTAACAGGGGCTGACCGTCTGCTGCAACCGGTGTGGAATAGTCGATCAAGTCAACAACAATGGGAAGTTGATGAACAAATTTGTAGGGCATGCTATCACCACCAACATGATGGCCTTTAAGCTTAGCAACCATGCGCCCCAAGACTCCTTTGGCCATCCAGACGTTGCAATCCACAATCCACACAATATCCCCAATTGCCTCTCGGTATGCTCGGCTAATATTGCGAATTTTTGGATTCGGTCCCATATTCGGCGTCGTGCCTAACGCAAGGTCGTCTACCTCAAACAGGATACGCGCATCAATATCGGGGAAGTCTTCAAGGACACTCTTTAGGATCGGGTACGCCGGATCGGTGTCATTTTCGAGACAGAGACGAATGGAAATCTTGTCTTGGGGGTAGTTCTGGCGGAATGATGCGGCGATACAATCGTAGAGTCGAGGCTCGACGCCCTTGACGGGTCGAATTATGGTAACATGAAGAGTGTCGTCACCCAGCCTGGGGGAAGGCCGGCTAGCAAAGTTGCGAAAGCTTGTGGGCGTTAGGGAGAGCTCGCAGATAGGTGGTGAGTGGCTCGGTGAGACTTACATAGCCCGGACACCAATAGCAATTACGGTGAGAACAACGGCAGCTAAAAACAAGAAGACGCCAGCAATGACCTCTTTCGACGACCACATTGTGAATGGAAATTGAGCTACCTAAACCAGATGCAAGCGGCAAGGTAGTAGGTATCTGTGTTCCCAGGGCTCTCACCGCCTTCTCAATATGGTCACCGCCTGCCGAATTGGGCTCTTGAAAGGGCAGTATTTCAATAGTGCCGGGCCTTGATGTGGAATGTCAAAATAAACTCAGTAAAAGATATCCTAACTTTAGGCTAACTTAATACTGAGTTTTCTTTCCTCCTCAAGAGTGCAAGAGTGGTATAAGAAGGAGAAGCAGAAGCAAAAAGATTGAGGATCTCGATTCTAAATAGTGGAAGAGGTGAACCAATGCAGATGGAAGGGATTGAGTGGACGTCATACTAGGTGTTTCTGGCACTTAGCTAAGGTACCTACATAGTAATTACATCCATGTCAAAAGTGCAAGCTCTTACTTGTATCCAGGTGTTTTACCCTTCACAGACTTGTGAGCGGGCGCAAAGTGAGTAACTTTCCACTCTCCTACACACATACCTAACGGTGCACTGCTTGCCTTCCATGGTGACTTCCGTCATCTTCTCTTCGAAATCCGTTCTCTCCAATTCGAGATCAGAATCCCAGCGGCAAAAGATGATAGCGCAAGTTAATAGAAACATTCTCTTTCACTGAGATGGACAGCCGGAAATGAATAACACGTACTGCTTTCCCATCCGACAGTGTGCAACCCCCCGGATTGGGTCTTGAAGTGATGGGCCCTTCCGGCAAGTCCGAGAGCATCGATTCACGGTAGTCATATGATTGGCTGTTTGTGAGAGCAGCACATAACCTTCTTCGTAAACGCGGGTCTCCTTCACGACATTCATGGCACGCGCATCTCCGAAGCACATGCCATGTTTACCAGTTATAAGACGGTCGATGCATCATTAGTCGACCTCTTTCAATAAGATCAAGAGATATCTGAACTAAGTAAATTCAGCCTAAGCACCATGAGGGATCAAGCTTGAATGTCGGAGTACGATCAGAGGCAGGATGCAAGCGTCACTTTGACAGGCGCAACAAACGAAAGACAAAATAAAATGAAACCAGCGGGCAGCAATCACAAGCTTCTCACGGGAGGAACCGAAATACGATTTAATCTAGCTATATCTTCATATAATTTGATTCTAGAGTAGACTAAGGGATACCCTCAATATCCGAAGGCTGGTGCATCCCAACAACCTGTGCCGCACCATCTATGAGCTTAGACCAAGCAGCTCGTCTCTCGATGAATTGTTCGACCTGCGGTCTCAATTTAGTGTCTGCAAGGCTGAGATCATCAACAGTACCGGTCCTCAGAATCGTCAAGCCTGGAAAACGTGCGCCACGACGATACATGAGTGTACCGCAAGTCTTGCAGAAGTAATTGGTCATGGTCGCGTTGGCGCGAATGGTCTTTTCCTCACTAAATGTTGAGAGATTGTCCTCACCGCGGACGTGCTTGAGATATGTGTCATCCACTGTGATGTTGGATTGGTAGAAGGCTGAGCCGATCTTGCGACAGTCGATGCAATGGCAGACATGGCGGTTGAGCAGGCCGGGCTTTTTAAGTGGCTATTTGTCACAATGTTAGGACCCTGAAGTTTCCGGTTCAGTTTATACAACTCGGGACGACTTACAAGTACGAGCTGCACGGCGCCGCAGAAGCAGGTGGCAGTTGCTTCGTCCTCAGTCGACCAGCCATCGCTCGAAAGGTGAACAACGGGGAAGCCTTGATCATCAAATGAAGTCATCTTTGGGACAGCCCGTAAATGAAATTGAATTCAGAGAGATTGTTGAGGTAAATGAGAGATCGGTTCTTATATAAAGTAGCCGATGTGTTGTGATATTGTAGGCGGTGTTTAGTGGCTCAGAGCAAAGTCGTTGAAATCTTGGATTTGTTATGTTTCGATGTTACAAGAACCTCGGCCTTCTTTATAGCATCTTGCTGAAACTCCCTGGTGCAGATTCATGGTATTATAGAAGTGATACATTTCTGATCATGTGTAGGATTATGGAGGTAACGTTATGACGCTATTTGTTGCGTTGGGAGATGCTGACAACTCAATTAAAGCTGAGGAACGATTAATACGGGATAGGCAGTATATCGCGCCATGTCGTCATCACCGGCCTCTTTACGTTTGTATTCCGAAAAATTAGTATTCCAAATTTGAATCTAATAGATTTGCTTTCTCATCAGCGAAGCATTTGTAATATGTAACCGAAGACTGTAGAAGGTCTGTAGTATAACCCTATGTGTTCCCAAGACATCTTCATAGGTAATCAGCTGACGTCCCTAGTCACATTACGACATGCTCGGAGTGAGTGCTTCCAAGGAAAAGTCCATCTCTCTTGTAATAAGTTCCCGAGTTGTGTTCTTAGCAAGACTCTGTTATAGGATCGTGGTCCGCTATCTAACTCGCTGCCCTTCCTCTTTTCGCCTCACTGAGCTATCTTGAAATCACCAGCCCAGCCCTCATACTGAATGCCAGCCGGGAACTTGTAATCGTTACGGGACTATTGGGTGGCAGAGAGTCATTATCACGGTCCAACCGTCAGGCTCCTCTCGATGGCACTATATTCCCGAGAACGGATTATGAGGGCATCCTTCATAGCGAGTAAGATCTACATGCCGAGAAGTCGTAGCTTTCGAATCTCTTCGCATTTGCCAGATACAGCACGGAGGACAACAAGCGCATTGCTCGGCAAGCATGTGCATTCTTTCGTGGATGATATAGTCGGAGTCTTCACGAGTACGCAAGCGTGGCTTCTTCGAGAAGCTTAGAAAAAAGGCGGCGCTTTTCAATCTTGATGTATGCGCGAAGTCGTTCTAGACCGATGGACACGATGCGAACGATCTTCTCAATATGCTGTAGACATGGAGCATGCTAATATTATTGTGTTTTATCATGAAGATACCCGGAGTAAGTAAGGCACTTGGAAGGGTCAAGGCGAGATCGTTTAATCCTCATTGAATGCTCCCTGAATTGCCG